AATTATTAATATGATTACTATTATTATTATTATTATTATTCACAGCACCTTACAAAATGGAGGGAGACAGTACAATTACGATACAATCCTTGTGAAGCATGCTTGTCTAATAATTCTATGTACTAAAATTTGCTTAAACAAAATTGAAAATTGATTAGCTGTTTATATTTAAATAGGCATGTTGCAAAAGCAATGTGTCCTACAAACTACACAACACCAACATATTTCATCATAAAGGGTATTACTGATGTTCCTGAATTACAACTTACGATCTTCCTCTTGGTGCTAACAATGTACCTTACCACACTCGGAGGTAACTTGACCATTCTTCTGTTGATCTGTCTAGAAAGCCATCTACACACTCCTATGTACTTCTTCCTCGGAAACCTGTCTATCCTAGACATGTCTTCAACCACTATCACGCTTCATAAGATACTTGTTATTTTTGTATCTCATAATAGAATTGTATCTTTCATTGTCTGTATGACTCAAATGTTTATCTTTTCATCATTTTCCTGTGACAGTTTGTTTGTATTGACAGCTATGAGTTATGACCGTTATGTGGCAATCTGCAAACCTCTTCACTATACCTTGGTCATGAGCCGAAAGGTATGCATCTTCTTGGCCTTCATCTGTTGGGCCCTTGGCTTTTCTCAAATTATTCCTATACTCATCTACTTATTAAGATTTACTCTTTATAAATCCAATGAAATCAACCACTTCTTCTGTGACATTGTGCCATTAATAAAACTTTCCTGCAATGACATGTCATCTCTGGAACTCTACATTTTAATCAATGGGATTTTCCTCTCTATTTTTCCCTTTCTTTTGACTTTTTTCTCTTACATTTTTATTATTCAGTCCATATTAAAAATCCATTCCAACACTGGCAGACATAAAGCCTTCTATACATGTTCCTCACACCTGACGGTTGTAGCTCTACTTTACATCACTTTGGGCTGCCAGTACTTGAAACCAAAATGGCAGGGCAATCTGGACTCCAATAAACTGTTTTCACTTTTCAACACAGCCACTGTCCCTATGCTAAACCCTTTGATTTACAGTTTAAAGAATAAAGATGTGAAGTTGGCTCTCAGAAAAACACTAAAATTTCAAAGAAAATATTTCTAAAGTGTTGCAAAGATAGATTACCCTTTATGTTTCAATGATCTGAATAAATCTGGACAGCAATTAGAGGTATTGGCTATTAAGGAAATCTATTGGCTTAATGGGTAACTGTTAATGATGATGTTTTTTTTAACCATATTTGTTGTAACACAACTGAGGGCCAATTCATTGGGGTTGATTTACTAACCTTATAAACACACCACAAACGTGTATACACCTCTGCAGTGTGTTCCCTCCCAGCATGATCTATGGGTGGAATCTAAACACCTTTGTAATGTGTACACACCCAGCAGGTGTGTTGTGCAAAGCCCTGAAGGAATTCCAAGGTGATGTTGGGTAAATTAGCTCTATGTTGTGTTGCTTGCGTTGATGAATGCAAGGAATGTAAATGCATGAGCTAACCATTTTTGTCTAAACTGTGAAGCAGCATTATATATGCATCATGTGCATGATTCTTCCATATATGGCATTAGTGGAAATATGCTTTTAGAGACTTTTTGGTTGATAAATACGTTTTGCTGTGTGAAAATCACACACACCTGGTGTGTGTGTTAAGGTTAGTAAATCACCCCCATTGTGTCATTCATGTCTGTTTTTTTCTTTTTGTGATCACCTCTTGACCATATTGGCATTAGGTAAGCATCATATGAACTGGACAGACCTAGATGTATACTTCCTGCCTACCTAGGTCAACCTACCCCATGCCTCCCTCCTGCACTTCCTTTCTGCTCCTATCGCCTCACTTAATAAAAAAAAAAAATCACAGCAGCATTCCCTAGAACCCCTTATTTCCCCCAATACCCTCACCGTTCTTGTATCGGTGTTGACATCTTTCTAAAAGCTGTATTCGAAAATGTTCATTGTGGTAAAGACAGATGATTGTTGATAACCAAGGATGTCTACATATTACTACTAATATATCTGCCCACACCAGTTCTGTTGCCCATGATCCTTTTATTGTTATAAAATTTAGTGTGTGGTGCCATAACATATTCTTTGAAAACCCATATAACTGAATAAAGAAATAAAGGGAAGATATTGCACCTTCTGTCTTGTTTTCTAGACAGACTTAATCCTTTTAGTGCAATAGCAGTCTTTTTAAATGAATGGGCTGCTTTATCGCAACACACATTAACGGGCTATATAATGCTCGTTAACGCACATTCAGTAACAGACCATCTAGGTGTCAATGAGCCCTTAGTGGTTTTTTTAAATGGGACTTTATAAAGAAAACAAACAGAACTAATTTAACAATACACAGAAAATGTTTAACTGGAAGGTAGGCCACAGGAGGTACTCTTGATTGCTAAAGTCAATTCACCAAAATTAAATTGTTTAAGTTTTAACAAATATAGTTCAGAGATAGAACAGATCCATATAAATTGTTGGCTATTTAAATATGCAGCTTGTGAAAAATAATATGTGGTTTGGTAAATAGTTTCACTATGATTTATTTTGAAGTTTGTTATTTTAAAAAACAATAAGCTAAAGATTTTACAGGACCCATAAACGAATATGCGTAACAGGTTGGAGGTGTCTACATATTAAAGTGTATTTCCACTTTTTCAATCAAATATGTTTGTTATGTGTTCCCATTCACACAGGATACCGAAGGAATTCTTACCTTTCTGTTTCTTTGAAGTAGGATTTTACATAGGACACTGTAGGCAGCTTCTAGTGGTTGAAATAGTCACTCTTTCTCACAGTCTGTACCCCTATCTGCATGCTGCCACCAGTGTGCAGATAAAGGGATAGACTGAGGGACAATTTTTAACCATACAATGCCGTGAGATCTTTAACCCTTTCTTAGGATAGATACAGATGCTCCTCGGGTTACGATCGTTCGGTTTTCATCCTTGCGTGCATATACGATAGCAGCGTATATATACTGTATACAGATCCTCCTTGGGTTGTGTATATACTGTACTTTATATCTCAGAGCTTAGCCTACCTTAAACGTGGCTAATAAAAACATCTTGTATTAACCTACAGATGGACAAAAGCCTACTGTATTTGATAACAAAGTGTTGAATATCTCATGTATATACAACTCCTCAGCTTGCGATGTGATCGCTTTATGATGGTTAATTGGAATGTAACCCCATTGTATAACGAGGAGTGTCTGTATACATGCTTATGTAGTTTACTAGACATAATAAAATCTGCCAGCACAGTGCAGACAGGGTTAATTCCAACAAAACTCCCCCCAGCCCCCTTAAACAGTGGGAACTAAGCAGTATTTTACAGTCCTGGCGTTTCCACAAAATAATTTTTGTGGAAGAAAAAATAAGCTGCAATTTTTTTAGTTCTATTTATGCTATGTGAATGGGAACATGTAATAACTAAAAGTAAAAAGGTGTTATCCCAATTTGGCTGCAAAAGTGGAAATTCACTTTAAGAGAGTACAGGTGAAATAGTTAATTATGTAACAGAGCACTCTACAGAAAATCTTGCTGAATGTAACATTGTCAAACAAGAGAATCTGGGTGAGGAAGGAGAAAGATGTCGGGGAAGGTGTAGACATAGTGGATTGTAGCATGTGGGTTGGGAGGGTAAGGATTAGTAGATTGAGCTTTGTAGATGAACCGGAGACAACTAACATGGAGTGGGTGATAGATGAATAGATCTACCATACAGTGGTTGAAATTTGATGTTGGGAAATGAGTGAGCCATGGGTCCCAATTAATTTAATCAACACAGGTATGAACACATCTTATTGTCCTTTAAACTTTTCTTCCATATTATTTTATACAAAGGAGAAGAGGTTGTAGGTAAAACAACTCAAAGCACACGAACAACACAAACATTCCCCAGTACTCAGTTTGGTTAGGCAGCAAAAAGAACCTAACAACAATGTTTCCAGCATTTAGATTATGAAAGGGGTTTCCATTCCACACATCTACACAAAATAATGTTACCCTGCCAAGGCACTTCAGCAAAGTGCGGTCCTTGATCTATGGGAGCAGCCAATCTAGGACATAAATATAGCAGGAGATAAATTAAGAGCAAGCCTTGGAGGTATCTATATTCTCCTTCAAGTTACAGCAATACTTAGGGGTCTATTTCACCTAACCAACCACTCAGTGTCTGCAACCACCCTCTGCCAATCCCTGCACTTGCTCCAAATAGCCCAAATAATACAATTCAAAATATTAACAACCACTTACAAAGCCATCCACAACTCTGCCCCCAGCTATTTCTCAAACCTTGTCTCAAAGTATCATCCTAACCATCCCCTCCGCTCTTCCAAAGACCTCCTGCTTTCCAGCTCCCTCATCAACTCCTCCCATGCTCGCCTCCAGGACGTCTCTAGAGTCTCTCCCATCCTCTGGAACTCTTTACCCCAACCTGTCCATCTATCTCTCACACTGACTGCCTTTAGGATCATCTCTTCAGGGAAGCCTATCCCACCTCAACCCAACCATCACATTCTCAAATAGTTCATCCCCACAAGGCTACCTCCTCATGTATCACTGGTCCCTCCCTTTTAGATTGTTTATCTAAAATTATAACATAGATGTAGATTTCTGGACCTTTACAGCTCCTCAACATTTCAGAATGGATACCTAAAGTTAGGTCTCACTCCTTTTAGAAGAATTATATTACGCATTCATTTGTCCCAGATGTCTGGTGAAGAAATGCTGGTCTTCTATTTGGTCTAATTTGAAAGTCATCGTTAAGGGAAATACAGGCACATAAGCTTTTCCTGCAATTATTAAAATGGTATAATATGGATCATGTCTAAGCAAATAAAAACAATACAGTGTGTGTTTTACATTATTTTCATAGGAACTCATCCACATTCAGTGTGTACCAATAGTACAGCCCATAAATATTTCATTATAAAGGAAACTTTTAGATGTTCCCAATCTTTATACTAGTATCGGTAAGGTGGACCTTCCACTTTATTGGCAATACTTGCCTATTCAGAGTGCCTGAATTTTGTTTCCACATGCTTTCCAGCTCCCTATGTGTGTTATTAAGTAGTCACCACTCCAAGCTCCCTCCTGTGATGGACTACAAGCTCAATACAAATTAGTAAACGAAACGTGAGATTGTAGTCCATCACAGGAGCGAGCTTGGAGCGGTGGCTACTTCACAACACACAGGGACCATGGGGGACAAAAGTTGTCACCCTCCAGAAGGAAGGACAGTGTCAGCACCAATTCAGAGATGATTTGAGGATTTACAGCAGAGTTATCTGAGTTTAGTCTCTAGTTAAGTCTCTAGTATTCCTTGGATACCCACTGTTCTCTTGTCATTGGGTATCTATGCTTCGGAAATTACTCTACAAATCCACCGACACAGTCTGTGATCCCCAGCTGCCCTCAATTGTGCGTGACCAATTTATTTGGTCTTGTAACCAGTTTAGCTGTCACTTTAAGATACACTATATTGCCAAAAGTATTGGGACACCCCTCCAAATCATTGGATTCAGGTTTTTCCCGTGAAATTTCCTTGCTACTAAATATTCCACGATCAACTGTTAGTGTGATTATAACAAAGTGGAAGCACCTGGGAACAACAGCAACTCACCCACGAAGTGGTAGGTCACGTAAAATGACAGAGCGGGGTCAGCGCATGCTGAAGTGCGCAGAAGTCGCCAACTGTCTGTAGAATCAATAGCTACAGCCCTCCAAACTTTGTGTGGCCTTCAGATTGGCACAACATAGAGAGCTTCATGGAATGGGTTTCCATGGCTGAGCAGCTACATCCAAGCCTTACATCACCAAGTACAATGCAAAGCGTTGGATGCAGTGGTGTAAAGCACACCGCCACTGGACTCTAGAGAAGTGGAGACGTGTTCTCTGGAGTGGCGAATCACGCTTCTCTGTCTGGCAATCCGATAGATGTGTCTGAGGTTGGTGATTCCCAGGAGAACGCTACTTGCCCGACTGCATTGTGCCAAGTATAAATTTTGGTTGAGGGGGGATTATGGTGTGGGGTTGTTTTTCAGGGTTTGGGCTTGGCTCCTTAGTTCCAGTGAAGGGAACTCTTAGGGCATCAGCATACCAAGACATTTTGGACAATTCCATGCTCCCAACTTTGTGGGAACAGTTTGGGGATGGCCCCTTCCTGTTCCAACATGACTGCGCACCATTGCATAAAGCAAGGTCCATACAGACATGGATGAGCGAGTTTGGGTTGGAGGAACTTGACTGGCCTGCACAGAGTCCTGAACTCAACCAGATAGAACACCTTTGGGATGAATTAGAGCGGAGACTGCGAGCCCAGCCTTCTCGTCCAACATCAGTACCTGACCTCACAAATGCGCTTCTGGAAGAGTGTTCAAACATTCCCATAGACACACTCCTAAACCTTGTGGACAGCCTTCCCAGAAGAGTTGAAGCTGTTATAGCTGCAAAGGGTGGGCCAACTCAATATTAAACCCTACGGACTAAGACTGGGATGCCATTAAAGTTCATGTGCGTGTAAAGGCAGGCATCCCAATACTTTTGGCAATATACAGTTAGTGTATATAGGATACCAGTGGATGATTCAACCAGGTAGTATCTTCCCATAACTGAAATATCAGTTTGTCCTTTAATAGAAATATGGTTAATTCTAGATAAGAGAAGACTCTTTCATTTTGAATAAAATACAGAACAACACACAAACTGTAGATGTAGATAGATACATTTAATCATACAGTACAGAAGGGTCAGTAAATTATAAACAATGAAAATGTAGTTAAAAACAGCAACATTTCAGAGGGCCTTTGTATGAGAAGCTGTCAGAGAAGTACAGAACAATGCCTGCTCTGTTGAGAGGGACAGATCTCTTTTAGGTTCTCAGCAGTGTCATACCGCTCTGAAGCCTTTCTCCAGCTCAAGGTAAGCACAATTTTTTATCTCGACCCCATACCTTAGTCACTCCATGAGTGCATGAAGTAATACAGTTCAATTAAAAACTCAGCAATAGCTTAAAGAGTCTCTGTCACTTTGCCTATTCAATCTCTTGAAAGTCCACCACCTGACTCTGCATTGCGTCCTGGTGGTGCTTTAAAAACTATAAGAGGATCAAGGTCTTCAACAACAAAGTTGACCCACAGTGTATATAACTTGATCATGACAAGTGAAATAAGTTTATAAAATGTTAAAGTTCATTGGATTACTTTAGATAGTTAAGTCTGATCTCATGAGAATTAGTAATCTCAAGTGCCATGCACACAACTTGGCGAAGAGCTGATAAATAGTTGAATATTCCTTGTCTATATATTGTGCAAGGAGAGATGTATCTGTATATTGTACAGGGAGAGATGCTGAATATTTATTTTTGCCTTGACTTATTGTTTTCTCTATGATAATCAACAGGCACTGGACATTTAACATTTTAAAGCAATTCAAATTAGAAGCAAGTAGAATATAAATGTTAAATACATTAATATGAGATGTTTGTTATTCTAGCTCTTTTGCCTAAAATATACAGTATGTTATGCTTTGTTTCAGTAAACACATGATATCTGTAAAAGGTAAGCCGCATAGTTTTTTTTTTACATCACAAACCTTTTTTTAAAAAGTAATTAGATGAAAATAGATGAAGGAATGTTATGTGTACAACATTTTTTATTTATAATTTTTTTAAACACATTTCAAAATGCTAGGTAAGCTTTTTATCTTGTCTTTTTTTTAGACTTGGTATAGAGTTTACATTATATGGGGGTCATCAATCCTTATAATGCTACCTAGTGGTAATTGTGAACTTCTATTCTAAGAGGTCTATTGATCAGAGCAAAAAAACAAGAACCATTTAAGGATGAAATTAAATATTAAATCATCAGATAAAATATCCATTTATCAGAAATAGAGGAAAAAAGTTATATGAGAGACTCTTAAGTGATCAGGACCACACCGCTTAAAATCAAAATTGAAAAACAAGAGGGCATGTGGGGGTTTTTAGGTGCCTGAATGACAAAACCAAAACCATATTAATGTCGTATAAACAAAATTATTTGTTATTAAAATATCGTTGCAGGGACGCACTGGAGGCCCAGCAACCAAAAATGCACGCTGGGACTCCAGCACCTTATTAGGAGGAGTTGGCTACCTCCAGGTACACCTGCATGTAATTTATCGACTTCATAAGTATGCTCACACTTGGAGACTTGGATACATAGTGTTAGGACCACACTTTGCAGAGGTGCCTTGGCGCGGCAGTGTGGCTTCTACATATTTTTGGCCAAAAGTTTGTGCAACTAAAACCTCTAATTTTAACGCATACTGTTGACAGGGCTAGTTGTTTGGTTGCAGGCTGGCTGGCAGGTTGAGGCTGGGGAATTTTTGTGGTTTGTATTGTTGTAAGCCTTCCCAATGTGTGCCCTGCTATAAAGGCTGGTTATAGATTCATGCATGTACCATCTTTTCTAGTTTGACTATTCAGAAATTTGGCATATAGTTCTCCTTTTCCTTATAATATTTGGAGTAGTTAGCATTCAGTATTCAACGCATTTCATGTAGGCGCTTCATCAGGTATTTTCTGATTGCTGGAGAAAATCTAAGCAATCATATACGAAGAATAAATAAACATCAAACATTTTTTTGATACAACATTAATATGGTTTTGGTCTTGTCATTCAGGCACCTAAAAAAACCCACATGCCCTCTTGTTTTTCCATTATGAGAAATAGAGGCTTTCAATAGTTAATTATCTTTTTTATGTGGAAAATTAGCAAATCAGTACATTTTGGGTCTGGGATCTCAGTGCTGTTTTTTTTTTCAGTCCAGAAAAGAAAGCCCCCAGCACAGCGGACCCCAGCCCAGGAGAGGTGAAAATGCAAGTTAGTGATTACATTTAAGCTGGCCATACACCTATAGATTATCTGCAGATTTTCTAGAATAGAAGCCCCGTCCTTTCCCTAGCCTGTAACTGGATAGTGAAAGGAGAAGCAGCAGATTGAAAAGCTCATGACTCCGTCACTCTATGTTTCTCAAAGTCTCAGCACTGTTGTATGAAGAATTGCAAGAAGCTGATACCTGGTCAGATTTGGATACTTACACTGCTTGCCTTTAAAAAGTAATTTGCATAATGTATTAGCTGAATACAGAGGTTCACTTTCATCGTGTCTTTTATATCTGCCCAGTTCAGCTTTATCTATGAATCTGACATTTTTTACTTCTCCAGACTATTTTGTCATCAAAGGGATTTCGGTTGCTCCAGAGCTGCAGTTTCCTATTTTCCTTCTGGTTCTTCTTATTTATGTCATGACTCTTGGTGGTAATATGACTATTCTTCTCTTGGTCTCTATACATCATCATCTTCACACCCCAATGTACTTTTTTTTGAGTAATTTGTCAGTGGTGGATATTACATCTGCTACTGTAACCTTACATAAAATCCTTTTCACCTTCATAACAGGCAACAGAAGGATGGCTTTCATTCCATGTGTGGCACAGATGTATGTCTTTATATCCTTGGTATGTGTTGAGCTGATGCTTCTGACCACCATGAGTTATGACCGATATATGGCAATATGCAACCCATTACATTATCATTTGACTATGAACCAAGTTGTCTGTGCTCTGCTGGCTATGTTTTGTTGGGTGTTGAGCTTCCTAGAAATTATTCCTCATCTTTTGGTCATTTCAAGTTTTACGTGCTTTACATCTAATGAAATAAATCATTTCTTCTGTGACATTATGCTTCTGGTGAAACTTTCTTGTAGCAATACTTCCATAATAAATCTTCTCATTTTTACCTATGCCCTAGTCCTTTCAACCTGTCCCTTGCTTCTGACCATTGTGCCTTATGGTTTCATCCTACATGCCGTGATGAGGATTACATCCAGCAGTGGAAGGCGTAAAGCCTTTTATACATGTTCCTCACACCTTACAGTCGTTTTCCTACTCTACCTGACTCTCGCCATCCAATACCTGAGGCCAAACTCCATCGACAACTTGAATTTCAATAAACTTTTCTCCATGTTGAACACAGCTGCTGTCCCAATACTGAATCCCCTCATTTACAGTTTAAAAAATGAAGATGTAAAGAGTGCTCTGAAACAAGGGTTTAAATGTAAGATTACCAGATAAAAATAATTTCAGTATCTCTGTATGCGCTTCATTTGAGCAAATTTCAGGGAAAACCCTTATACAATATGTTCAAAACCCCTTCCAAGTAGTAGTAATGAAAGATTTGTAAATGTTATTCACTCAAACACTATTGCCCTTTTGGTCAGGCGGGGATCTACCCCTGATCGATATCTCACACACAGGCTTTCTTTCTCTCTGTCCTGCTGTAGCATTTCCTCCATGCACTGATATTAACCCTCCATACCTTGCCTATTTCTCAGCACAGCGATACTATGTCACCAAGGCAAAAACAAAGAAATACAGACCATAGTGCTCTCTGCGATGGGCAGGCATTGTGGTTTGCTGGCAAGAAATAGTGCATGCGCCAATCTTTGGCATAGCACCGCAAATTAGTGCGCTGCAACACATGTCCATCTCAAAGTGCATGAGCGTGCCATGCAGAATCATCGCACATCACACCAACGCACGTGATGTGTTTTGCCACAACACTATAGTGTAAACAGACCCTTAGATATCTTATGCAAAGAAAAGTGTCACCCTTACATTAGTCCAATTAATCTAATGCTCCCAGGATACATAGGTTGCAGTAGTAGCAGCAGCAATATAGAAGAAAACTTTTTCTGGCTCTGCAGTAAGAAATGTTTTGCCTCTTCAATCCCTTTAAATCTCTGGAATGTTTTCATATTATGGCAAATACCCAATACTTCTAGGTGTGGGAAGCCTAGTTGTGACCTCCTTTCCTTTCTCCCAGGATATAGTGCTCAGGCCTGAGTGCCAGATCACTAGGCCTAAGTGCTGTTACATGAGGGAGAGGAGCTAGTCATTAACCATGAGTAAGCTCCGCCAGCATCCGGCGTGGACCATACACAAGTTTTAGACCCAATGCTCTGACATACAAACAGTGGGTGAGGGAGTATCGTACAAAGAAAACCTGTAACTTTGCCCTTGAATGGCAAAGTGACACAGTCTCTTAAAAGATGTTAAAGCCTTGTGGTTAGTTTCTGTCACTTGCTCTTCTTCCTGCTACTTACACAATAGCAAATCGTTTTTGAATGTTAGTCAGAGTAAGTATCTTCCATCTTGGTACAGCCCCACATTTCCTGATTCCTTGCCTAGGTAAGGATGCAGTGGCGAAACAATAGCCATAGCGACCCAGGCGGCCTCTATGGGGCCCGGGCACAGGGGGGCCAGGCCAGGACACCCCCCTGATGCCGTGCGGGCTGCTTGGGTCGCTATGGGTTCGAACGCGCCGCTGTTCAGATCACCGTGATCTGTGCAGTGCTGCGTTCTTCTCCATAGCCGCTGCTGAGTCAATGAGAGTAAGCAGCGGCGGCGGTGAAGGAGGCTGGACGTGGCAGGGAGGCGGCGCCCATGGGTCAGCATCAGACGTGATGGAGGAGAGGGCGGGCATGGCGTCGTAGGACGGAGCAGGGCCCGGTGACGGAGGACGGAGTGGGCCCAGCGACGGAGGACGGAAGACGGAAGAAGAAGAGGCGGACAGGTAAGCAGTGTGACCAGCCCAGCTGAGGGTGACCCTGCAGAGCCCACCATAGATATTCTATGGTGGGCTCTGCAGGGTCACCCTCAGGTGAGCTATGTGGGCTCTTCAAGGGGTGTAACTAGAAATCACAGGGCCCCATACAAAATTTTGCTATGGGGCCCTGTGATTTCTAGTTACGCCCCTGTAAGGATGGTATACTATCAGTCTATGTTAAAAACACAAATAGTACGGACAGCGCTCTCGGATTGAACCTGGAGAGGTGGATTTTGTGGCCCTAGATAGCATGCAGCCCTGAGAACAAGGAGGAGTACCTGTAAATGTGAAAAACGAAAGAGAGAAACACGAGGGCGCAAAACTAGGTCAGCTAACTACCTGGACCTAACATATCAGGGAAGGTGACAGGAACAATCAATATATATGTATAATGTACTTATTTATGTGGGTCGAGGTAAAGAGCTCTTTATCCTCATCCACGACAGTCACTGACCCGACCTTTCGCCACCCTGCTGACTTCCCTGCCGGCTCCCTTCCATTGCCGTTTTTACGGCTCGGGCACACTGCTAAACACCGGTCCACTCCTAGACTGAGCCGCACCATCCACAGCTGCGGCCACAGCAGCATAGCCAGACTCCTTTCTTGTACGCTGCTCAAATCCCTCATTGTTGTGTCAGGAAGACGGACCATATCCTCGTTCCGTCACCTGCCTCCTGTCCACCTTCCTCCTCTCCCCTTCTCTCTCCCCCTTGGGACGAGCAGCCCCAGGCAACACATCAGCCGCCATTCAACATACATGCTGGGTATCCTGATCCTCCTCACGGGCCGGTTCACATCTGGTTCCCCCACCCACATAAGTAAGTACATTATACATATATATTGATTGTTCCTGTCACCTTCCCTGATATGTTAGGTCCAGGTAGTTAGCTGACCTAGTTTTGCGCCCTCGTGTTTCTCTCGTTTGTCTATCAGTCTACGTTATTGGACTTGTGTGAGATTTTACACATGTGTAGACATGACACCGGGCTCTGCCAGGTCCTAAATATTTGGCAGAACCCTGCAGCATGTCTGAGCATGTGTAAGATCATCTGCATGCGCAGAGATGCCGCAGGATGCTCTCTCAGGTCCTAAATATGTGTAAGAGACCTGAACCATGTCTGCACATGTGTGGGTTCTCTGAATCAGGAACAACTGTCTCCACGATAAAGGAATTTAAAGACTGAGTGGGAACAGAACGGCACAAAAAGAACGTTGGCTGCAACATTTGGCTCATGGACTACTAGGTATTTTTTTTATATACAGGGACAATTATCAGAGAGATAGAACTTAGATTTACATAGGTAGGGTAAATTTCAGTTTTAACAGCTCCACACAGGAAATACTTTTTACAAATAAAGTAAAAAGGAATTTGTCTTTGGCAATGTGAATGCCAGATCCCACTGCTCTGAAATGTGCACGCGCTGAACAAAAGAATCATTAGCATGTCAAATTTGTTTAAAGGAGAACTATGTGGTCAGGGTTTTTCCCCATAGTTCTTCTTAGGGTAACGGGAGGACACAAACTAGCGTCCTCCCGTCACCCTCAGCTCAGTATACTGCCAGCTACAGCTCGCGGTATACTGAGACGCCGCAGCTGAAGCGGATCCCGACAATTATGTCTGGATCCGCCCAGCTGCGTGAGTGACAGCTGGCTCTGCCTATCTAGAGGCAGAGCCAGCTGTACCCGCCCCCTCCCCCGTCCATTCCGTCAGTCAGCGCTGGCGGATCGGAGCGGGGAGAGGGGAATCCAGCCCCTCCCCCTGTCACGGCAGAGAGCTATGACAGGATTGAGAGGTGAGCGAACCCGGTATGTGTTCGCTCACCTCCCGATCTACTGAGCCGACCTGTGACAGTCTCATTGTCACAGGTCGGCTAGAACTATGAGGTGAGTGAAAAGCACTCGCCTCATAGTTCTCCTTTAA